CACATTAAAACGCCTTTACACTTTGCAACATCTTTGATGTTACACAAAATCATGGTCAAAAGTCTGAAAATGCATTAAAAATGACCTGAAACTAAAAAAAATAGATTTGAAATAAAAAAGAAAATGAAGCAGAAAAATTGTGAAACTAAATAAATGCAAGAAAACAATTTATTCAAAGTAAAATAATTCATGTTTTCAACACATTTTTATTTTATTTTATTTTTTTAATTTTTTAAACTTCAAAACTTAGAATTTCTGTGTGAAATCGCTTGTTTAAATAAGTTTTAACCCTGATTTAGCTCTCTAGTTAGCTAGCCAGTTAGAGGAACTCAAAACTCCTCCTCATATGACGATAATTTTCTAAAAACATCACATGCCTTCAGAAATACGTATTTTCATTTTTTTTTTTTTACAATTTCACTTTTCTATGATGTTTTTTCATTACATTAAGCTAAACTACTAAGGGATACTTACTGTAGGGTCTTACAGTATTTCAAGCCAGACAGCCTCCCTCTTTGTGTCCTTTGTCAGAGTGGCATGAAGAAAGACCGCCCCTTTCCCGCTACTAATATGTCATGTTCCTGGGCAAGATTTGATTATTTTTCCAGCTTGTCTGTTTAAGCTTCTTTTAGTTTAATTTATTACCTATTCTTCCAAATTTAGTATACCATACACACCTTGGCCCACATTAAATCATAAAATATATGATTTGATAAAAATTAAAAGTGTAGGACTGTTAAAAAAACAATAATTGGATATTTACATTCATTCAGTTTATATTGTTAGAATATAATAGTTAACATACACTTAAACACAAACACATTAATCCTGAACTGCTTGTTTTAGATCCTGCTTTTGCTGGATTTTGAAAATAACACAAAAACAGTGCACATTTTTAAATATTTAGTGTTTTACACATTATATTAGAATTAAAAAATGTTTAACTTATTCTTTCTAAGAGTGGACCAGAGCTTTTTCAGTAATTTTACACATTTATTTCTTACAATTCAAGTCCAAAAAGACGTGGTCACAGAGTTCTTTCTTTCTCACAGCAACTTTTTCTTTATCATGTAGAAAAGCAGTTAAAGATGTGACTTCTTTACACTAACAGAAAAAAGGGTGTCACTGGTCCACTTAAGATCAAAGTGGCTTTATGTGGCCTGTAATCAGTTTGATACCCCTGATCTGCTTCAGTCTTTGTCGATGTGCACATTATGTAAACTGTCTGTGAGAAGCTGAGGACAGTACTGCTTGAAATCCACCGTGCAGCTGCTCACTTCTTTTTTTGCATCATGAGCCCGTGCCAGCTTGGAGATGTTCGCTGATCACTCTGCATTCCTTTACACATAACTGTTATGATCTCATTTCAGAAGGTGTCATACTGTTCCAGATCATTTTCCAGTAACTTCATTTGATTGTCTCAGCCGCAGAGGATAACAAGAAACAAATACAAAAGCTCTTAAAAAAAATTATTCAACCTTTTCAAAATTAAACCTTTTATGTAAAACACAATTAAATGAATGAACAAAAAACAAATGCAAACTGCAAAATTTGGGTAAGAGTCAGCAACATTAATGGAACAATATTACAATCAATAAAGTTCTTTTTCAGGTCATGTATGTTCTTGTTACTGTTATAACAATATCTGAATCAATAATAATTTATTATTAGTTTCGTTGCAAACATTTAGACTGCCAGCATAGTAAATGTTCTTTATCTTTATTCTCTTTCTTCTTCGTAACTTTAGTGTGAGCTCTTACTGTTGCAGCTTGATTAGAAATTCCTCTATTTCTCTGCTACCATATTTTTTAGTGTATTTCTCCAGCATTGTAATGCTGTTTTCACGATGGAAGGATTGGTGTGGTATCACTGCTGCCTTCTTGTGATATTCTATTGAATTTTGTCTATCAATCAACTTTCCGTTAAAATATAAATGTTTTGCATATTTGTTGTAAAGCATTTGTTGCTCCTTATATTCCAGGTCACTTTCTAGCAGTTCATTGTATATCTGGTCAGCTTTGTCTTGCTTATTTACCTTTACATACATGTCTGCAAGAGTTATTTTCATGTTAAGTGAAGAATGAGGGTAAAGCGAAATCACCTCCTTACAGAGACTGATGGCTTTGTCAATCATGCTGTGCTCGAGCAGATTGGTCCTTGTCTGCCTGGAAAAGATCCTACTTCTGTAGCAGTTCGCAGCACACCACTTCAGGTAACGTTCATCTGGATGTCTTTCCAGAGCTTCTTCTATCAAATCAATAGCTTCATGTACAGATAAATATTTACTGTAAAGCATAAGTACCGGATTGATACCACTGTAGCTGCTAACTGGCTTTTTTAAAACTCTTCTGGCCAATGTGCATACTTCATCTTTCATTTTTGTTCCTTTTTGAGGACATGCATCAAGGTAAAGAGCAGCAAGGTACAAGTTCTCTGGATCGTGTTCTTTGGCGATTCTCATTTTTTCCACAATGGCATGGTCGCTATTGTTATGAGCATTCACTAATGCTAACACATAGCTGGTCCGCCATGCCACCATGTCAGGCTGCATCCTGATGGCTCTCTGGAAGTAATCTATAGCCAGCAGCTTTTTTTCTTTGTTGAACTTCATCAGGGTCCAGGCTTTTTCTGCAGAGATCTCTGGATGGAGTTCATCCTGGGATGGAGATGGGTATTCATTCATCAGTGCATTAATTTTTGACAGGTAATTCTGACTTTGTACTTGTTCTCCCTGTTGGTTGTGTAGCCAAGCCAGGTTCCCATAGTTCACTACCAGCCAGGGACCCTCATCTGATACTGTGTTTCTCATCTGACGGAAGGCTTCTGTGGCTCTGCTGAAAAAACGCAGGGCATCTTCACTGAAGCCCAGCTCGTAGTGAATGAACCCCTGCAAGTTATAAATGTGACCCAACCAGCTGTACCCCTCTTCGGTGCCAATGTCCTCCAAATTGTACTTGAGACGGAAAATTGTGGACCTGCTACAGTCCAGATTCCAGTTGAAGTGGCACTGCAGAGCCTCCAGTTTGGACTCCAACGTTGACTGACTCTGAGAAGAACTATGGGGATTCAAAATTAAAACAAATGCACATTCAAGAAATATAATGTTCTCTAAATATTCAAATCACATACGCCCCCCTCCCCCCCAAAAAAAACAAAAAACAAAACAAAACAGAAAAGCTGCTACTCACCTCATCTTCTAACTCAGTTGCTTTCTAAATAGCACTGGTGTCCTTTCTTTGGACTGTTTCTTTGGGTGTGGCACCATAAAAGTCAGTCATGTTTAACTTCTGTACTGTTGTAAATGATGAACTTTGAACTTAGTGAACTATTACTTCTCATGAAAAAATACCGCCACGTGTATGTTTAATTAGGTTAGCAAGATAGGTTAGCAAATGATTAATTTTGGGTGTTACCCAAAGTATTAGTCAGGAAACTGAAGTGTTGATTGCATACTTTTTTGATTTCTTTACCTGACGTAAGATATTTTAAGCCATCAAAAGGCAAAAATCTAGGTGAGGTCATACTAGATGATGTCTAAACTGAATTCCTCTTGAAATTATTTTTCAAAGTCATTCCATTCAAAGTGCAGTGTAAATAAATGAAGTTCACACAGTTAAAGGCTGAGCCCTACCCAATCAACTCTATCAAATGTTTTTTCTACATTTAGAAACAATACTGTGGTTTCAGTGTTTTTACTGTGTCTATCAAATTAAGTAATCTATGTTTATTCATTCATCTATGTTTATTATTGGGCATACTTTTCAGGGCTTCCAGATGAGTCTTTAATGGCACATATAGTCATTTTTTAATTTATTTTGACTGGTTAGCTAGAAATTGTCCTAATTTGTTACCATGTTCTTGGAAGGCATCCCTTCTATGTATGGAAATAGGGTGTTGGGCCACCCATCACCGGTCATTCGGTACCTTTATGTACGAGCTTGGATTATAATGCCAGCAGTCAGACTTATTTCCAGTAGGTGGTTATAAACTGCAGCAGTAGTGGGATTAAGAAGCCATTTTTATTTAATCTTGTTGTCTCTTTTTTATTGGTTAGGAGCATAGATAATAAAAATTGTCTTTCTTTGCCTTTTATTTTCAGTTAGGGAAGACGAGGGAACTTAAACCTTTGTTTGCTGTTTTGGCATTGTCCCAAATAAACTAGTGCCAGGCATTTCAGTTGTTCTGTGAAGCTGGCCTTTTCTTATGAGTTGTTGGAGTGGGGAGTTGCACCTCATCTCATTTTTTTAATTTTCTGTTTCTCAACATATATATATTTTTTATTATATTTTATATATACATGAGTGTTACTTTATGTGCAATTTGGAGTTTTTTCTATGTACAATATTTAGGATTCCATTGCCAGTAGTGATGTGCCGCTGTTATCTGTATATGACTAAAAACACTTGAAATGTATTCAAATGAAAGTCTGTCTCTGCAGTAGTCATCATTTTGCACATGGATGTTTAGCTTTAAAATATGTCACCTCTCTAAACATTAGCAACTAAGAAAACTTGGCAAAAGGTGGCCTGGTAAATAATAAGTAAATAATTTTTTTTTTCTCCTATCTAATTTGGGGTCATAGGGGGCTGGAGCCCATCCTGGCTGTCAGAGTACACCCTGGCCGGGTCTAGAGTCTGTCAATGGTCTAACATGGACAGACAGCCATCATGCTTACATCCACACCTACAGCCAATCTAGAATCACCAGCTGGAGTTCCTGGAGAGATCGTGCAAGCTCAACACAGAAAGACTGTAAAAGCTGCAGTGCTATTTTGTTGTTGTTGTTATTGTTGTGACATTTCAACTTGAAATACACAATGCTATTGCTCCCATTAAGTCCTTCTAAGTTTTAAAATACGAAGGAAAGCGGGCTCTTACTTACCTTACTTACTTTAAAACAAACAAACAAATTAACGTCAATCATAAGCGTTAACTCGAATAACAACCAGTAGAGGGCAGAAATACACCAATGTCTTTTCTGCCTATTTAAAAAACGAAGAAGGAAGAGGACCTCTGTGACGTATTTTGCTCTGCGACAGAAACTCTGTGTATGTTGCGGTTTAAAGCTACTTTTCTAGAAGCAGCTGCTTACTATGGAATATAAATGACACTACAAGACTTACTGATGACTCCGTGATTAATGATGTTCATACGCAAACAGAAAAGAGGCGGCTGGAGCATGTTAAAGCCCCGTACAGTCACATGGCAGTTTGGTGTCGTCGGCTAAACTTGGTGACTATTTGTGCACAGTGCCTTTTTATTCGCGTCTCTTGTTTAGCTCAGATGAGCATGTAAGAGTCAGCCGTGTTTTGGTGGTGTGGAGTTGTTCATGTCCCGGTTGCAGAAAGTGGAGGAGAGCAGGCGGAGGGCGTGAGCTGTGTCCAGGCGGCTGTCGGTGTCCGGGATGGAGACCTGGACCCCCAATCCCCGAGCTAAGCCCTTCATCCCCCGTCAACAGAGGAGTCTCTATCTCACCTGGAAATACAAATTGACCAACAAGAGGACGATTCGCCGGTTCTGTCAGGTAAATACTGATAGAGCTCAGCAAAAGAGTGATGTTGCTGCTGTAAATCAGTAAAGTAAACGTATTGTCCTGGAGAATTGTTCTGTTTTCTCGCTTATTTTGCATTTAACAAGCCACATTAGCTCATATTTAAAGGTTTCATATTGCCAAAAAGTTTTGGTAAACGAAATGTCAGGTGCTCTTTCAAAGTAAAGGCTGCAAGACATATCCTGGCTTGATTATATCAGTGCCCGTTCCTAGATGCACTCACTGGGCACTTTGAAGGTTACACGTTACTCGTACTGGGTTGGACCCCTATTTTCCTTAATTTTTCATGGCATAGATCCAACAAGATGCTGGAAACACTCAGTGATTTTGATTTATATTGACATGATGGCATCACACAGCTGCTGCAGATTTGTTGGTTGCATGTTCATCTCAATCTCCCATTCCACTGCATCCCAAAGCAATCCACTGGATTGAAATCTGGTAACTGTGGAGGCCATTTGAGTACATTGAGATTATTGTCATGTTCAAGAAACTAGTTTGAGTTGATTTAAGCTTTGTAACATGGTTTGTTGTCCTGTAAACAGACGTCAGAATAAGCACACAGTAGTCATAGAGGGAGGGATGTGGTCCGCAATAATACTTGTTGGGTGTCGCATTTAAATGACAGTAAAATAAAGACCATCTGAATCTCACAACAGAAATCAAGACTCATTAGTGCCAGTAGATCAGCAATTAAGTGAACCATTTGTAGAGTTTAATAATATCAAAATTAACTAACTACAGACATCAAGATGAACACTGATACATTTTTTTTTTTTTATCCTACAGGCCAGTGCCGTGTTGTTTCTGCTGATAACCGTCATAGTCAACATTAAACTCATCCTGGATACAAGAAGAGTTGCCAGTGAAGATGCAGCAGCCCAAGAATATGGTGAGAAACATGTTCACATGTCATTTTACTTATACTTAGTACACTCAGGTTTAAGTGAGTGTATGTATAAATTTGAGCCTGTATGTACGATTTTGACCCTGTGTGGATTGGTGAAAATCCTAAATGAATTCACACTAATGCGTCTAATTCTAAGACTTTAAAGATCTGTGCTGTATAATAACTCCGCAAAAAAAACTGCTACAAGCAACTCATTACCATGACATTCTACCCAGAGTGTAGAATGTCGAGTGACCACAGCTTTAGCTTTGAGTTGTAGCAGACTTTTGTGATTAGTAGTATTTCGGCCTGATAGATGGATGTCTCATCCTTTGACATGTTAACTTGAACTTTTTATCTTGATTCGTGATTTCAGAGTAAACTTTAACTTTCACCCATCAGTATACTTGGACAGACGCTGCGATTTTGTCATGGATTTAAATTCAGTTTTATTTATATAGTTTCCTCAAGGTGACTCTATAAAATATCTCATCTACAATATATGTGTACAGTATACAGTACAGTCTATAGTCCCCAAATGTCTAACTCTGTGACTCTCTGGACAGTAATGCAGCTTTCAGTCAATTCCTCTGAAACGTTTACTGTATGTTAATGTAACAGTCAGTATTTAAATATGTACAAAATCAGTTTAATAGAAGAGTTGAGGGTTGATCTGTCTGTTGCTATCTGACATATTCACTAGGGGTGCAACGATACACAAAATTCACGGTTCGGTTCAGTTCGATACTTTGGTGTCACGGTTCGATATTTTTTCGATACAAAAAAATGTTCATGCCTTTTTTTAATTTGTAATTTATTAAGATTATAAATATTTCTTTTAACTCAAAAATACAGTTTTTAAATGAGATGTTGCTGAAACAACAAAATAATAAAAGAATAAAGGAGTTTGGAAACGAGTTTATTTCAGAGAAATGTCCTTTTCCAAAATAAAAGCTATGCTATACCCTTCTTCTGGGGTAAATTCTCACGAGCATATTGAACATATCAGGTCCCCATAAAATGAACCACTCTCTGATGGACCTCACCTCACACACATCTTCTGGAGTGCTAGCACTTAGCTGCATATACAACAAAAACAACTTAAATAAAAATGTATTGCACAGAAAGGCCTTCCTAAATATATTTTTAAACATTTGAAATGTTCTAAAAACAAGATATCAACCACATACAGTTCTGCATTGTTTGGGAATCCCTGATGGTATTTTCTATTCTTGGCATAATATAAAACAACCACACCCAATCCCTGACATGAAAAAATTTTTTTAGAACCATGTTCTATAGTGTACAGAAAACACATGAAAACTTAAATCTGGTAAAGCTATACTTCACATATTTTCTGTTGTGCAGACTTGGCACCATGTAAAACAAACAAACAAAAAAACACCATGTAAAGAATAAAAATAAATACAAATAAAAGCTATTCTATACCCTTCTTCTGGGGTATATTCTCAGCAGCATATATAACAAATCAGGTACCCATAAAATGAATCACTCTTTAATGGACCTCCCCTAACACTCATCTTCTGGAGTGCTAGCACTTAGCTGCATATACAACAAAAACAACTTAAATAAAAATGTATTGCACAGAAAGGCCTTCCTAAATATATTTTTAAACATTTGAAATGTTCTAAAAACAAGGTATCAACCACATACAGTTCTGCATTGTTTGGGAATCCCTGATGGTATTTTCTATTCTTGGCATAATATAAAACAAACACACCCAATCCCTGACATGAAAATTTTTTTAGAACCATGTTCTATAGTGTACAGAAAACGCATGAAAACTTAAATCTGGTAAAGCTATACTTCACATATTTCTGTTGTGCAGACTTGGCACCATGTAAAACAAACAAACAAAAAAAACCCCACCATGTAAAGAATAAAAAATAAATACAAATAAAAGCTATTCTATACCCTTCTTCTGGGGTATATTCTCAGCAGCATATATAACAAATCAGGTACCCATAAAATGAATCACTCTTTAATGGACCTCCCCTAACACTCATCTTCTGGAATGCTAGCACTTAGCTGCTTATACAGCATAAACAACTTAAATAAAAGGTCCTGTTAAATACAAACCAAAACATATTTTACTCAATTTCCATGTTCTTCTTCAGAAAAATTAGGATGTCCACATGTTCTGCTGACAGTACAGATCTGCTTGCTGTGACAATGTCACCTGCTGTGGAAAACACCCTCTCACTTGGGACAGAGGTTCCAGGTACAACCAAGTAACACTGTGCCAACTTGGAAAGATGAGGGTACAAGCTGTGATGTTCCTTCCACCATCTCGGTGGGTTATCATCTGTGGGAATGCAGTCTGCTAACCTGTACAAGTTAATTTCCTCCTCTGCCACTTCGGCTGCAGACCTGGTCCTTGGCTTCTGTGCAATGAACAGTTCTCCAAACAACTCCTTCATGGCCGACTTTTTCTCTGGTGGAAATGCTGATGGTGAATCTGAAGAGTTTGCTGCTTGAGTCTCTGCGGAGGTCGCAGTTTCTGTGGTGCCTGCAGCTTGGTCCTGAGGAAATATAAACAACCAAACTGTTAATTGTATTTGTTTAAATAATATTTATAAATGAAGCAGTAGCTAAATAAAATTTCAAAAATAAAAAAAAGAACACCTACTTGTTCAATGCTCAAGACAAGTTCTGTGGCGAGTGCTCCATAGACTCTCAGCTGAGTGACATCATCAAAGTGTCGCAGGGACTTGAATCGAGGATCTAAAGCTGTGCACTTGTGTAGGTAATTCTGAAGGGCAGGATCAGCGTATCTCTTCTCCAGGTCCTCCCTGATGTTTTTTTTTTTATTTATTTTTTTTTTTTTTACATCTCTCACTGCTGGGCTGTCATCACCAGACTGCGCCATAGAGTTCAGGATGTTCATTTTAAGTGGCAGGATCATGGATGCTGTTGGAGATGACGCTTCACACATCATGACTGTCACAGTTTTTAGGGTTTTCATGACTGTAACAAGATTTTCAGCCAGTGCATGTTCTTCCTGAGTTAGATTCTGAATGTTCTTCATACTCTTCTTCACAGTATTGTCAGCCATAGCAGCATACACTGCAGCTTGCTGTTGAAGGTATCTTTCCATCATATCATGAGAGGAGTTCCACCTAGTTGGAACATCTTGAATCAGTTTTTTTTCCACTAAGCTGCAGCAGATGCTGGTATTTCTTAAACACATTGCATCCTGTTGTGCTTCTGTGAAAGAAGGAGACAATTCTTCTCATCTTTGCCAGGAGATGGGGAAACCTTCTGCACTGCCATTCCTTTCTGAGCAGCTATATTAATAGAATGTGCAAAACATCTGATTTGTGGCCCCAGTCCAGCAGCTGTGACGGAATAAATTATGTTCTTAGCATTGTCAGTAGTTACAGGTATTGTCACATTTGGTCGCACTAACTTCCAGCCTTCCACAGCTTCAGAGAGACCTTTGGCTAAGTCGTCAGTGGCGTGACTTTCGACCAGGTGTGTCTGCAAAACACAGTTTTTCATCTGCCATTCCGGATCAATGTAATGTGCGGTGACAGTGAGGTAGCTCTTGACGTCCAGCCGTCTGAGGTCAGAGCAACAGCGGGTGCTGCTGACACTGCCGTCTCTAATTTAGCTTTTGTCTCCTTGTACAAAGCGGGAACTGCGGTATCGGTGAAATAGGTTCGTGAAGGAATACTGTAACGGGGCTCAAGTACTCTCAGCATTTCCTGAAACCCGGTGTTTTCTACAACAGATAAGGGTCGCATTTCGATAGCAATAAAAGTAGCAATTTCCCTGTCAATTTCTTTTGCCCTCTTAGAATCATGCGCTAACGGCTGTCTAAATGACTCTGGCAAAGTGTGTAGCATGTGTGTTTGTTGTTGTTTTTGGCTGCCTTCACTCGTCTTTGCACTAGGGTGATGTCGGCGTAAATGTGCATTCATATTTGTTGTTGCCACCGATGTAATTAACCATGGCGTGGCACATCCGACATACTGTTGTAGTTTTGTGCACAACGGGCTTACCATCAGGGTCATACTTCACACGAAAGCCAAAAAAGTTCCAAACGCCAGATTTCAATGACAGTGGAGGAGGTTCAACTTCGGGAGGCATTAAGGCAGTTGCCATGTTGCAATGAGCTTAACTTCTGTCTCGCTAGCTTGATTGAATGCATGTGGGCGGCGCTCAGTGGCTCTGCGCTCGACAATGCAGCCTAGGTGGAGTAGTTGAACGCAGATTCACTAAGCTCTCAACACACACAGCATCGTCAGAAGAAAAGTTGATAAAATAAATTGAAAAATTGTTCGATACACATGCGTACCGAACCGAAAGCACTGTATCAAACGGTTCAATATCGATACGAGTATCGTTGCACCCCTAATATTTACCCATCACTCATTAACCTTCTGATACACGGTGTTCCATTAAAGTGTAGTTTTATTATGAAGTGCATCATTTTGATCTTGATGTTTGTTTTTCTCTCTTTAGAGGATGTTATTCCTAACATGGAGACAGCACGCAGGCCGGCTAATGGACGCAAAGTCCTCGACATTGAGGTGTACTCCAGCCGCTCCAAGGTCTACGTGGCAGTAGATGGCACCACGGTGGGTGATTAACTGGTTAACTGGCTGATGCCTACTGACAGGTTACTTGAGACATCCTGCTTTAATACTCAAAGGGGCTTAGCTAATATAACAGACTCACACAACAACAGAGGGTTTGGTCTCACTAACTTTCCAGGTGCCTGAAGACAACAACAATCTTACTCAGACCAAGTAAGCTGCTGCTTGGGCCTCTCACCATCGCAGTTTTCAAGACAATCTATACATCCTAGACTAATCTTTCCTCCCACTAACCTTCATTTTGTTGTTAGGTTTTCAGTTGAATTCTATTTTGTCAAGGGAAATATTGGTAATGCAAGGTGTTTAGATTTTGGCTTTTTAATGTCATTGAACTCATGTTCAAAATGGTAATAATCCTTTATAATGAATTTGGTTAATGATAGACACAAAGCGTCAGACTGTTTCTTCTGGCCGAGCATTCACATGCCACATTTCTCACAGAATTATATTGTATTTAATAAATAATACCATGTACAGCAACAACAATACAAATTAGTCTCCAGTAAGTTTCTCATCACGTGGATAACTTTACCATCTTAGACTGCCACTGGCAATGAAGTCAGTGTGTCAGACACTAATAAGATTAGTGTCTGACACACTTGGCTCAGTAACAATATTGTTTTTCTTTATTTTACTTGTTCCTGCAGGTGCTGGAAGATGACATGCGAGAACAAGGCAGAGGGATCCATGTGATAGTTCTCAACCAAGCAACTGTGAGCATGTGCTGCTTATTCTTCATATCATGACGCATGTCTTTCCACTGGCAACTCATATGTAAATATAACAAACTGCAATTACGGTACATACTAGAGGTAGGAGGAAAAAATGGATGCATCATATTATGATTTTTTGCTAATTGTTTCACTGTTTTTATAGCTGTATTTATCACAATACAAACAACGTTGAAGTTAAACTTATCAAATGTCAGTAGTAGATTTTTTTTTTTTAGCAATTTCAGATTTTTGTGTGTGTGTGTGTGTGTGTGTGTGTGTGTGTGTGTGTGTGTGTGTGTGTGTGTGTGTGTGTGTGTGTGTGTGTGTGTGTGTGTGTGTGTCACAGGGTCATGTGATGGCCAAGAGGATATTTGACACCTACTCTCCCCATGAGGATGAAGCCATGATCCTGTTCCTCAATATGGTGACTCGTGGTCGAATCCTCATCTTTACCATAAAGGTCAGGAGCTTCTAACTATCTGAGGAGTGAAGGGGATATTCATGTTCCAGTCATAAACCATACCTGTAACTGTGTTTTTTGGGGGCTTATTTGTCCTGCAGGATGAGGGCACATTCCACTTGAAAGATGCTGCTAAGAACCTGCTCAAGAGTCTGGGCAGCCAGGTGTCCCTCAATCTGAGCTGGAGAGACATGTGGACTCTAGTGGTGAAGAAAGGAGGTAGAAAAGCAGACCTTCATTTTTAACAATGACATTGAGGACAGCCATTATACAGGAAGAGCTTCACTAAATCGATCAGTCACAAAACATCTGAGGAGCTGGGGAGAATTATGATTGGTTGTTTAGAAACATTAAGAAGATTTGATTATGAGATTTCACAAAGTCAGCCCAAAGTGCACCATTTTATCGTGGATTGACATATGAGTTTTATTTTATTTTTATTTTTTTTAAACTAGAATCAGCCTAGATTGTTTTCAGGACCACTACAACTTTACTGTGTATGACTGAAAGAAAGACTTTTTTTGTTCTACATATTCACATTTGTGTCTTGACCTTTGTGCTTGAGGTGTTGTCACTAATGGCTAAACACTTTTTCTTAGGCTGAAATTAATCATCTTTGATTTACAAGAAACAAAACAGATGGATATATTTAATTGTCTGTGCAGTTTTTCATCACTATTTTCTACATAAACTTGGATTTTGTTGAGAAGTTATCAGTGTAAACCATAAATAAGGCATCTTTGATCAAATAAATCAGTCAGTAGGGGGGAAGAGACAAAAGGAAAAACAAGAGTTTACACTTGCCCTGAGATTACCTCTCTTGACTTGATGTTGTGTTTGTGTTCAGGTCAGGTTTATGGAGAGAAGCATTCAAAGTCTCCAGCTCTGTCTACCTGGGGAGACCCAGTGCTGCTCAAGACTGAAGTGCAACTTACTGCCTCTGAAGGTAAGAGCCAGTTTTAGCATGCTTGACAAAGGGTGAAATATTTAAACTTGATTCCCCTCTCGTGCACAAAATGTTATAAAAAACTAAAAGACTTGTAGCTTTTTTTATGAATAATCTTTTGAAAGTGCGATGACATGCAGTAAAAGTTGGGTCCTTGAGAAAAAAGTCAAAGTTGGGGATTTGCTTCTCCTTATATTAAGATGTTTTAGTCCCGGCGGTGTAGGGACCAGATGGGTTAAAAGTTTGAGACAAAGACTGTATATGAATGATGGTTGAATTCACCGGTAGTTTTGGATTTCACATTTTGTAGGTTTAGCATGAGCATTTTGGCCACAGGTGGGGAAACTGTAAAATGTAAATTTAAAAAAAGATGATGATTTGAAGGTCTCAAACACATTTTATGCACAAAATAACACAAATGTTAAAACTGAGAAAAAATATTAGTTCAAACCAGTTGCTGAACTTTGGGGAGAGGAAAGTTGCTCATTCTTGTTTAATACAAGAGCCGAGCTGCTCAAAAGTCTTGTGTCATCTTTGTTGTATTTTTCATTTCATCATGTGTCAAATATTTTTAGCTAATTAAAGGTCTTGGCTCCAGGCAGGCCAGTTCAACACCTATAATTCTGACCAATGTATTTTGCGGTTTAGCATTGTCTTGCTGAAATAGGCCTCACATGGAAAAAAAACGCGTTCTCTTTGAGAGCATATGTTGCTCTAAAAGCTGTGTACACATTTTAGCATTAATAGCGCCTTTTCAGATGTGCAAGTTGCCAGTTCTAATGCACCCATCTATATACCATCAGAGATGCAGGCTTTTGGACTGAGTGCTGATAACAAGCAGGATGGTCCCAGTTCTTTTTAATCCAGAGAATGCAACGGCAGCCATGTTTGCAAATAATAATTTAACATTTGGATTTGTCTGACAAGAGAATAGTTTCCCACTCTGCCTCAGTCATTTTACGTGAGCTTTGGCTCAGAGCAGAACACAGTATTCCTGGATCATGTTCATATACATCTTCCTCTTTTGCATGATAGAGCTTTAAGCTGTATTTATGGATGACACAGATGCAAGTTTGCCTCTCAAACATGTTCTTTTCAGTCATGTTGCTGGCCTGTTGACAGTTAACCTAATGTATTGCAACATGTTCCGCCTGCTCTATCTTTTTAGTATTATTTACTTCTTCAGCCTTTTTCCCCACCCCAACTTTTTTGGTGATATAGAAATCGGAATACTTTATGAATCGTCTGTGAAGGTTCTCAGTCATCCAGGTCATCGTAGTCAAAGGAGCTTGCAAAGAAAAGCGTCTGGACTTCTTTAAGTTGCTTGAAGACGTTTCACCTCTCATCCGAGAAGCTTCTGGTGTGGGTCCCAATCAGCCAGAGTTTCGGGTGTGTTCATTGGCTCAACTCTGGCTGATTGGGACCCACACCCAGTTTCACACCTTGGCTCAGGCGATTAGAGGATCATCAGGGGGTCCTTTTGTCCCTCTGTGGGGGGTTTCTCCCACTAGGTTTATATCTGGGACTCTCCACCATTTGACCTTAGAACTGAAGAAGCTTCTCGGATGAGAGGTGAAACGTCTTCAAGCAACTTAAAGAAGTCCAGACGCTTTTCTTTGCAAGCTCCTTTGACTTTATGAACCCATAAGAGAATAAAGTTCAAAATAATTTTATATGTTACAAAAAACTGTAAAATAATTTGGGATGTGTTCTTATGTTCTGCAGAGGCAGAGTGCCACTGGGCAGACACGGAGCTGAACAGGAGGAGGAAACTCTTCTGCAGCAAGGTGGAAGGATACGGCAGCATCTGCAGCTGCAAAGATCCGGCACCCGTAGAGTTTAATCCTGACCCTGTAAGACATGTAACAGACACGACTCTTTAGTTTCACCATGTTTTTCCTGCGTGGGGAAGCACAGGAATGCCAAGCTGTAAGGAGGGAGTAATGTCCTTGCATCAGTCAATGATATTTATTTATTTTGCTATAATTTGTATGGTTTTTTTGGTCTTGGATGAAGACAGAATCCCACAGAAGTGAGAGTAGCATTTGAGCGAGTAGTGAGGCACTGAGCACACTTGCTCGTATGTTTGAGTATGCTCAACTTCACTGTCTCGATGATACTTCCTGTGCTGCTCTGTAGTGAGCCCAGGATTTTGGCGTTAGTGCTCTTCAGGCTCAGTTAGAGTGACCCTCCAGTTTGCAATGGATCTCCACAACAGAACAGAACACACTGTCATCATCTGCAGTCCAAAATGGTGGAGCTGGAATTTGTCTGAGCATGTTGCGAGGGACTCAAGACAGTTGAATGACATAAGGGGCCTCCATCCGACAAACAAGCCCGAAGGATGCCACAGAACAGGAAGGACTGAGTTAGCTTAGAGTCCAGTAGTAAAACAACCACTTCTTAGACAGATGGAAAAATAAAGGTAAATTGACGAATTTACCTGGCCAGCTGTCCGAATACATGAGGCTGTATAGTCTATGTAAAGTGTCATTGTTAAAATGCTCATATACTTGGATTTAAGTAGTCAGGTGTATGCTTTACCGATTCTTGTCTTCTTGTCCACTAATTTGAGTTTCTTGTGTGCAAGTATAGATTCAGTATGATCACATTTTTACTGTTTCGTCATTGCAGCTCCCCATCAATAATGTTTTCAATGTCCCAGTGGCCGTTATTGCAGGAAACAGACCTAACTATCTCTACCGGTAAGATCTGAAAAATACTCTTCTGTCATACAAGGAAGTAATAAATCTCTGTCAAAATATAACTAAGTGTTTGGCTTTTTGTTGTTGTTTAGTATGCTGAGGTCACTTCTTTCAGCCCATGGTGTTAACCCACAGATGATCACAGTCTTCATTGATGGATATTATGAGGTACCTTCATTATTATTATTATTATTATTATTATTATTTGTTTATGTATGTATGTATTTATTTATTTTGATTGCTGCAGTTTACTTCTGCCAGTGATTGGGGTGTACCTTTGCTGGTGTTAGGTCATGTGACTATCAAAGTCATACAATTTTAAGATCTTAATCAACACATCATATTTCAATACCTTATTTTAAACAAATACAACAACCATAATTTTATTTGCAGAAGTCTTTATAGATAGTTTAGGTATCTATATATCTTTTTCCTTGTCAGAGACTTTGAAGTTATTGATAACTTTTTACACCTTGGCTGTAAGAGGCTGATGCGGATTTGGTGTTAACCTGCCGGGCAGGCAGCGTTGGCACCGAAGTTGTGAACGCGATAACTCAAGTAACTCGTAGGAATTTGAAATTGATAATATTGGTGCTCCTAATAAAAATGTTGGATGAGTTTGAATCTCAGTGACCTCAACCTCAAGGTCAGAGGTCAAGTTTTTTTAGAAAGCCTTGTGAATGCAATAACTTGAAAACAAGGCTTTTGAAATTGATACTATCTCTAGGAGACGAAGGGGTACCACTGACCACTGCCCCCCAATTTTAAATTTTTTAAAATTTTTTATTGGGAGTCTGTTTGACTTATAACGATCACGTGTGTTTTACCAAATGAATGAACTGAATCTATAAATTATCTTGTTAAATGTTAAAAAAACTAATTAATCTCTACAGTGTATCCTCGTCATAATTACCACGAGAGTAGGATTAAACTGCATCCTTTGTGAGATTAAAAGAATTTAAACTAGAACTACAGAAATCTGTTTTTTGGATGTTTTTGTGTTTTCTCTTTAGGTTTCTATTTCTTTTAGAAACAGAATTGTCATTTCAGGTTATACTCACCACCTCAGTGGATTTTGTTCAGGGAAACAGTTTGCAAATTATTAAAGAATCTTTTTGTAGCTCTCAAACATCTGCCTTTTTGACTCAGGAGCCAATGGATGTTGTTGACCTGTTTGGACTGAAGGGAGTTCAACACACACCTATCAGCATCAAGAATGCCAGAGTGTCTCAGGTAAGCAACAGCTTCTCATTCAAGGGTTAACACATAATTCAGAGCAGTACAAGCATAGATTTTAAAGAACCAATGTTTCCTTTACAGAAACGTTGAGCAGTGTTGTTATTAAATTATTCTTTGTTACTGTGAAACTCAAACATCTCTTTCCTCAATCACAGCACTACAAAGCGAGTCTGACAGCAACCTTCAATCTTCACCCAGTAAGGACCAACATCAAACACTCAGCTGTATCATGTTAATTCAGTTTGTTATAACTCTTATTTGAATTTTTCATCTTTTATAATAAGTGCATTGTACAGCCTCAATTTTACATTGCACTTCAGCATTTCTTTAATTAAGAAAAAAAATCATTTGGCACGTCCAAACAGAGGTTTCACAGTGCACACTCAGTTGCTCCAATTCATTTGTTTCTCTGACCATCATAACTAACCTGCAACTTAACCAGAGGTAAACCCTCTAACATAAGTCTGAATTGTAACTGTATACATATAAATTTCTGCTTCCACTCAATATTAATGAGACTTCTGAAACTCTTACTGTCAACACTGACATTATGATTTTATGCAGTGAACTCTGTGAATGCACTGTGGGTGTTTTAGTGTGTGCAGTTGCCTGGGGTAGAGTCTGTATGCACCATATGTATGCGCTCATTAGAGTTTGTTGTGTCTGTTTTATCTTTTCCCAGGATGCTAATTATGCCATTGTACTAGAAGAAGATCTTGATATATCCATTGACTTCTTCAGGTATTTCTTCCAGTCTACATTACCACTACTAAAAGCAGCCAGATGTCCATGTTAGTTCCAGAAAAGGGCTCTTACTGATTGATATCTAGTCACTCTCTACTGACAACTTTTTATGCAGCTGCTGTTTTTGGTTCTTAACCTGGTAGTCTCATTCTGTTAGACTCTACTCATGCTTATGCTTATGGAAGCTGTGCTAAAAATTCTCCATTATTTCAGAGCAGAGTCCCTTTAAATTGATTTTACATTTAATGTTATTGTGAAGTTTATTTAATTGCTTATGTATTACTTAATTACTTCAGTGTAGTAAGCTGTAAATGCTTTAAACTGCTGTTAAAAGTTCAAAATGTACGCCCCTTACACTTTTTCTTGCTTGGCTGATTGGTGACTCCCCCCTTGTATTGTCCTGAGCAGCCTGGAGATCAGGCTGGCTGGATGATGATTAGAATGAAGAATAGGCCTAAACAGAAGTTCACGGTATTCCACCATCTTGAATTCCCCCCCCCCCCCCCCCCCCACACACACACACACACACACACACACACACACACACACACACACACACACACACACTCAGTGCCACACCCGCCAAGGAACAGACTCTGATTATTGGTGATTCAGCAACCATAATAGATTGTCTTCCAGGGGAAGATATCATACGGGATATCATAGTGTGGCTCAAGCACGTTCATCATAGTTTAAACCCCTTGTTTTGCACAAGGGAATACGGCCTCCCGTCTGCAGCTAAACACTCCAGTAGCTTTTGTAATAGCTTTAGCCCGGTCGGATTGGGCGGCAAAGGGCTGCTTAAATACCGCAAACTCCTCTGCTCCTCCACTTGGACCGCTAGCGCCGGCCATAACTATCGCTTGACAGACCCACCACGCGCACCATACACATACCTTTTTTCCTCCTTTTTCGGAATAACGTGCGTGCCGAACCGTGGAGTGGGTTCGGATTACGGATCAACCGTGATCCGTTGCACCACTACATCTCTCTGTATAATTTGTGATCTCTGAGCTTCTGTACTGAGACGTTATTAAAATTACAGTAAAAACTGACAGTCCTACACTTGTATCTTTGTCCTGGCTGCAGCGGCAGTGAAAGAACGCACCAAGGTGCACGACCGGTCAAAACGACATCAAACCAGCAACTTGCACCAGTACTCTAGTACTTCCATATGGGAGGGTGGGGATGTGAAGCAGAATCACGTCATAAGACACTTCAGGCCCATTGAATAGAACTCTGTATTTTCATTTTTAACCTTGGAGATGAACTCACAGTGCACTTTCTTGTGAAGGTTGCTTGTTTCAGTCCTCTCATAACAAAGCCACCTTTGGGTTTGAATGTAGGCACACATTAAAACTGGTGCTCAATCTCTTTCTCCAAGAGAAAGAGAGCTTGTGCATTAAATGAGATGCTTACTCTTAAGGACCCAAATGTATGCTAGGAATATGTGTCCAAACTGTGTGCTGTTGCTTTTGCAGCAAGCTGTGGTTTATAGTTAGCCACAATTTAATTAAGAAATGATGAGGAGAGAAAGTGGAAATACATCTTTATTTTTTTGTTAAAGGAACTTTCTGCATAGCATCCTCAGCTCTTCTGTGAAATTTTTAAAGATGTTTTTGATTCTATAATGTCAGCTGAGACGGCCCTTTAACACGCTGACCTGCAAGATTCACCACCAGATGGCAGTAGAGGGCAGTGATAATAATGCTCTGCTCTGTTAGAACCTCTAGCCTTCCTTTGTTGGACAGGCTGTGCTTTGAACTGTGTGTTTGCTGCTGTGAAAGCTCCAGCTTCCCTCCTGGGCTGACCAATCTGTTTGAAGCTCTGACTTCAATAGTGGAGAAGAACTTGCGGCCATCATCTGTGTTTGCGCCAGTTTGCTTTTGAGCTTCAAGCTTTCAGTTAGAGAGCAGTGAAATTAAAGCTTGGTTCTATTGACAAAAACAAGCCTGTTATTTCTTCTTTATGTCCAATAGTTGTAGTTTCTTGAAGGAATATCTACAAGTCCAGTTCAGAAGCTCCCCGTGTCAGCTGTCAATCACAGTGACCACTTGCTATGAAAGGTCTGGTAGAAAAGCTCAGTGTAATCTGTTGAAGTACCAGAAAAATGTTCCTGTTCAGTGATCAGACGTCTGTATGTTCGGGTCTTCTGTTTAGATCAAAGTTTTCTTCATGTTTTTTTGTTTTGTTTTTTTTCTAAAATCATAACTGCAAACTAGACCCCTTTTTATATTCAGTCTATTGTCAAAAAACGGTTACATTATCAATATTTTCTGTTTCTGTAGCTTTCTGAGTCAGACCATCCACCTGCTGGATGAGGATGACAGCCTGTACTGTATTTCAGCCTGGAACGACCAGGTGAGTGCTGACTATCATCTGTATTCCTTATTTTCACACTTAAGTGACTTCACTATTTGACTTCTCTAAGCCTGCTTTTCATGAACATTGTCCCGCCAGTCTTTGTTATGTAGATGATAACACTCCCCTATATGTGGTGTTGATCAGGGCTATGAGCACACAGCAGAGGACCCGGCCCTGCTCTACAGGGTGGAGAGTATGCCCGGCCTGGGCTGGGTGCTGAAGAAAAGCCTCTACAAAGATGAGCTGGAGCCAAAATGGCCTACACCCGAAAAGGTGCTTGAAGTTGTCTTTTCTTTTGTTGTGATATTTATCACCGATTGATTCTTCCAGTGGTCATAAATAGATATGTGAAGTGAATAATCTTCAATAACTTTTAATTATAAATAAAGTTTGTCATTTAGAAAAGTGATTAAAAGGAGCTGCATGAAAGGATTTTTAATATATTGTGTTGTTGATTTTATTGTCATGTTGTAATTCTAAAAATCTTGAATAATATCTATGTAGCCCTTAAAAAGAATAGTGTCTAGCTGACAAGTAAAAACAAATGCAGGAACACGCTGTGCATGCATGTGAGGCCGTGGCGAAAAGATCGTGACTAAGTGCGTGCCTGCGCTCTTTCTGGCTTGTAGCTGTGGGACTGGGACATGTGGATGCGAATGCCAGAGCAGAGGAAAGGCCGAGAGTGTATCATCCCTGATGTATCCCGCTCCTACCACTTTGGTATCATCGGCCTCAACATGAATGGCTATTTTCACGTAAGATCTGAAAGGAAAATGCTTTTTGTTATCAGCTTTTCATTTGTGTATTCCTGACACAAAGCGACAGGTCTGAAGGCAGCACTAGAGCAGTTAAGTCAGCTGTATCTTTTTAGCCCGCTGTTAAAGATTGCTGTTTTTGTCTTATCGTGTCACATAGGAGGTATATTTCAAAAAGCACAAGTTCAACACTGTTCCCAATGTACAGCTGAAGAACGTGGGCAGGTGTGTACAGCCATGTGATTAAATGCTATTGTTTTTTTGTAAGTAATCTGGCTACATGGTGACAGACTTGGTTTTAATTGGTCTTCACAGCTTGAAGAAAGATGCTTATGAAGTTGAGATCCAGAACCTGCTGAAGTGAGTACAAACTCTGGCATCACTCAGCGTGTTTGCTTATGGTTGTTGTAAACCACAAAAAGTAAATTTTGTGTGTGTGTGTGTGATATTCCAGAGAGGCAGAGGTGCTAGACCACACCAAAAACCCATGTGAGGACTCATTCCTACCTGACTCTGAGGGGAAGATCTACATCATGTTCATTAAGATGGAGTCTGAAACAGACACATCCACTTGGACTGAGCTTGCCAAGGTGGTCATATTTACATAAGTGGTCTTGCTTGTGATTTTTACAGGCAGTGATTTAAGCCCTAATAAATTCAATCATGTCTCTTGTTTAGTGCTTGCACGTTTGGGATCTAGATGTTCGGGGATACCACAGAGGTCTATGGCGGCTCTTCAGAAAAAGGAACCATGTGTTGGTTGTGGCTGTTCCGATCTCCCCGTACTCGTAAGTAACTCTCAGATTATATGTAGCCCATACCTGTAATCTTTCTGGGAAAACAAGAAAGTCAGAGATAGAGACATGGAAATCATATGACCATTATCTGATGGTTTACAGCAGTTGCACCCTAAAGCAGTGTGAAACAAGATGAAACATTTTCACAGCCCTAAGAGGAAACCGTAAAAGATCCTGTTTATTACCTAAGAGCAGCTTCTGTTTGTTAGAGCAGCAGGTTCTGTGTGACGGCCTGTAAATGCAGAACAGAAAATGGAGATGGAGAGGGATGCAAACAGCAGAGATGTGGCCTGGTTGTTACATGAATAATTCAGGGTTTTCAACACAGTGGAAACACAGGCAAACAATGACCTTTTACGTGACAGGAAAGGGAGAAAGGAAAAGTTTCAGGTACTTTGGATAGATAAAGGGCTATGCAAATAACTTATGCAATCTAAACAAAATATTGTCTCTGTTTGCTGCCTGCCTATGAAATCAGGCAGTCAGTCTGCTATCACCTGCAGTCTTCTGTTGGAATGGATGTATTCAGGTCCAGGTCTCAAGTGTTTGGCAGTCCAGCACACATTCTGTTACACAGTTGGTATTTAGCTTTGAAATGCTTAGAAGGTGCATTCTCCTAATATGTAGGCTAAAGTTTTAGCCCTATTGTTGATATTTTGGTGAGATGCTGCATCTTTCACTTGTTTATAGTTAGATTGATTCTCATAGCAACACAAGGAGCAGATTTATTAATTGTAAACATGATTAAGTGAAGGATCTAAGAGTTCATGTGGGAGGTACTGGTTACAACTGGTGCTTTTAATGAGAAGAGCATTTCAGGAAGGCAGACTATTGAAACACTCCTGAGTACCCTGGCTCATTTCTTTTAAAGAGGTACCTTGTTGGAGGGGAGGGAATAATTCATAAATAATTAATTAGCACCAATATTTGAAGAAAATGTTTGATTTCCTTCCATTGCCCATAAACTTAATTTATATAATTATATAAAGGTTATATAAACTCCACCTCAAGACATGATGTGAATACGATAGGATACAAAGAAGCAAAGTCACTCCTGCTGCACTGTGCCAGTCATCAGAGGGAGAAAGGGAATTTATTTCAAAAGTAATATGATAACTCCTGTGATTGTTTACACTTCCTTTCTTCAACCATCCAATTGTTTTTGTTTTATAAAACTTTATTTCAGTAAAATAACTTTAAGCCCTTTAACAGAATCTCTAGTTGGAGTGAGAATTTTTACCCTGTTTTTGCATTAATTACTGATTTACTGATAATGTTTCCTATCAATATATGTTTTCTTTGTCAGTGACCACAAGAGACAAAAATCACCATGGTTGATTAATATGCTTCAGATTCACAACAACCAGAACAGCCAACTACAGTTGCATTCTTAAAGTCTTTTGCTTTTAATTCTCATTTTAATAACCATCTTGGGTAAATTCACACCAGATAAAAAAAAAAAAACAATTTGCCTTAATTCACTTGTATTTCTGTGTAGGTTCTCTGATCTCTGCTTAATGTTATCATCGCTCCACTTCCTTTTTTGTAACCTCATGTGTACTCTCTTATTTTATTCTGATCAGTGTGAGGAAACCAGCGAATGTCACTCCCATTCATTTAGAGCCTCCTCCTAAAGAAGAGGGAGCACCGGTGGAGCAGATGTAGATCTGATGTTACACACACACACACACACACACACACACACACACACACACACACACACACACAAACAGAGACACACACACACACACAAACAGAGACTTCAACAAGCCCTGGCCTTAACACTACTACTTCTCTCCATCAACGAACATTAATAATCCAGCCTGGGGCCCAGAGCTACAGGTCTGTCTTGGGTACAAGAGGATACCTGGGACACAGAGTCTATTTTTTATGTTGGAGGAAGAATTAACACTACAAACAGCACTGGTGAGTCCGTCCAGCAGTGATGGTAAAACTAGTTATAGTTAATTGTGATCGTTCAACCACAACAGTGTACAGCTGCCAACAGCTGTGTCTTTTTGTGGATCGATCACTAAGCTACATCTTTGACAGAACAGTACAACTGACATAAACACACTGACCTGAAAGAAGGCAGTGCTCCTTATAGTTTGGTATTTTAACTACTGAGTGTTTGTCCATTTTTGTACATACATTTTAACGAATCTCTATTTATTTTACATCTGTCAAAAGTTAGTGTTTTTTTCTAAATAAGAAAATCCACTTTGATCAAGTTCAATGCATTTTTAAGAGTCTGACTTTTACAATGAAAAAATGTAAGTGTGTGTGTGTGTGTGTGTGTGTGTGTGTGTGTGTGTGTAAAATCTAAAGGTTGGCATTTTTCTCAGCATTAGATATCGAGTGTAAAAGCCCCATGGGTTTGTACCGTTATTGACTGTATAGATCACTTGCCTCGGATTAGTCTTGATGATGTAATCCGAAAGGTGGCTGAGAGACAAAAACCTGAAAAGTCATACTTTTAACATGTGCTGCATCTGAAACCAGAGAAATTGCAAATGCTGTGATGTTAATGTGTGCTCACCTACAAAATGATGCACATTGAACAAATCACTTTAAATTCGGGCAGTTTTTTTGTTTGTTTGTTTTTTTTAAGTAAATTAACCTTTTTCCATGTAATTATCTGTTTCTGGCATAGTTCACTACTGGCTTTTGCTCTGTCAGGGGAAAAAAAAGCACGTGGCCCTTCCAGTACCAACAAGTAATAATTGACACAGGAACTGAAAATCATAATTAACAATCATTAGGAACGAAACCTTTTTGTTGTGTACCCCAAAAAAGGAGGAAAATCCGTGTCTAGGATCAGATCTAAATATGCAAACGTGTGCTAAACAAACAGTTCAGGATATTTGTATCCTAGCACAGCATTTACGTGTGTACGCATTTTTTTGTTGTTGTTGTTTTGTTTTGCTTTTTCCTGAAGCAGACGCACTTTTTTTCTGTGCTTGCTGCTGTTTTTGATATACAAGAGACAGCGGCAGCTGCATAAGGTGCTGAACGTTCAGTTGCTTCTTTGTTTCCTGATTGAACAGTGTTCAACTACTGAAGCTACTAAAACTGAGCTCAACACTGTTACTTTTCACACAGCCATCCAGTCACGTAGGAGAAGGGCTCAGATAACAAGAACACCTGGTATAAACACTAAAGAACCGAGTCAATTTCTCTGCTTGTACCAAATGAAATCCCCAAACTAGCACTTTAGTCATATATTAATTAGATCATTGTGGGTCAGACATCACAGCAGGCAGGTACTTGCAACCAGCTACTTCCTGGAAGCAGCATGTGTTAAAAATGTATTTTTTCCCCCTCCTAATTTCTTAGTGTGCGTATAAATTTTGGTCTCTCTCAACCATCCTGGAGGCCAGAGGCTCCACCACTTCCATCCACTGAAGGTAGCAATGTGAAAAGAGTACTAAATCTTCGTTACATATATTTATCTGAGTTTCTAATTGCAGTGTTCTTCATTTTTAAGAGTAGTAAATACGTGAGAAGATTTATTTGATAATCTCACTGGCCGCATTCAATGCCCTGAGATGCAGCTGAGAGAGAGAGAGTGTGTGTGCGTGTGAGAGAGAGAGAGAGAGAGAGAGAGAGAGATTTCTCTTGTAAAGCTTTTCTAACTGGTGGTCAAATAGAAACCAACCCTTTAAGAAAATGTTATTATTTATGGTAAGACATGCAAAAGCAAACAAAGTATTATCTGCTTATGGATACATTTATTTTTAAAGTCACACTATAGAACTGTCTAAGCATTTATTCACTCTGTACTGGTCATGTTATCATTTCAAACAACTGTTATGGATGTTTCAGGCAATTAAAAATGAAAAGATAATTGAAATATTTGTTCCACTTGAGGTCTAAAAACACTGACTTTTAATCCAGATGTTGATATTCTGCCAGATGTTTTAAAAGAACGTGGAGTTTTCAACCATGTTAACAGAGAGGTGTGAGCGTGAGGAAGAGATACTGGACATGTTCTTACCAGCTGATGTAAGAACGCATTAACCAAATGAGTGTGAATTTTAATTCTGTTAGTATTTGCAGTTATTTGATTGGAAGGTGTTTACCTGTCAGAATGAACCACTGACGTTGGGGCTAAGTTTAAGTCCTAGTGTGTTTCTCTGGTTTCAGATCTCTGCAAATTGTCTTTTTTCCCCCTCTGGTTTGTTCTTTCATTTCACTTTGTGGTGTTCCTGCTTTTCTGGGTTTCAAAGGTTAAATTAAATTGAATCATTGTTTCAATAGCAATACAGTTGATTTAATACTGTGGCAGGATTCTGAAAATACTGGAAAGCGCTTCGTATGAGTGACAGAGGAGGATTTGTGGACTTGAATGCAGTTTGACATGTATGAGTTTCTTTTATCTTGGAGATGAATAAAGATTTTTTTTAAACTCACTCTCATGCTTTTTTGCTTTTCTTTTTTTCCCCCCTCAAGGCTGTACTGTACAATATTTTAATAATTCAGAAATAAAGATTTATTGTGTGTATAATATTCATGGAATAAACCAGAAGCTCTTGTTGTTCTGAGAGTGTGTGTGGGAGAGAAGAGAGCTGCCTCCAGATTTCCCATGAGAGGCATGCAAAGGAACTGGGAGGCAAAAACCACATAGGGAAATGTATGCAAATCCTCAGGACTCGGTGGATTTCTGTATTCATTGTGGCTGACCAAGGATGAGTGCGGCTTCCTATCCTTTGAGGTCCAACTTTTGCAGCTAAACTGTTTGTTTTTGGTGATTAACCCCACTGACATCAGTCTTTTCTTTTGTTCAAGGAGAGCCACATGTTATGATGCATGTATGTGTGTGGAGGCAGACTTCTAGAGGCGTTTTAAATTCTACTTTATATTTAAGCCAGCAATCAAAATGAAACGGATCTGAGGCTTTACACTCATCAGAGTTTGGCTTGTAGATGCTGCAGAGGACATGCATCTCTTTAAAGGACCATTGTTCAACATTGTGAAATTTTTTGAAACACTGAGATTATTTGGGCATGACAAGGGGGATCTGAATTGAATTGCATGTCAGTGATAGTATTCTTTAATCTTTCATTTATTATTATTATTGTTATTATTATTTTCAAATGACTTTGTAACAAAAGCAAAAGAAAAGGATCTTCACCCGTGGTCTCAGATCAGTTAGATGTTAAACTTTGAAATGGTGCAGATGAGGGGGTTCTGTGGGAACAAGAGCAGTTGCAGAGATGAATGGAAATTCTCTGTGCATTCATCATTATGAGTGACATGTTTCATAGCATACAAAGACATTTTGTTCATGCATCATCTAAATTATAGATTAGTGTGCCTGCTGAAAATTTAAGGGTCTCCTCACTCTCACTTCACTACACAACTGCAGCCATGACAGAAGGAACTCAATCAATTTATACAGAACTCTACAACTTGTAGTATAACTGTGTAATAAATATAACATGATCTCATTTGATCAAATATCTTACATGCTGTTCCTTTTTCATTTGAAAGTCAGCCATGTCTGTACTTCTTGCTGTTATTTTTTGGTTATAAATGACTGTTTGAACAAGGCTAATGGATAATGTTTGAAAGCATTAATTCAAGAGCAGTGAATAAACAGTTGAAATTAAAATAGAGAAAAAATGTCTTAAAAAGGTAAAAATATTAAGTTGCAATATTACAATAATACAGAGAAAACATAAACATTCAGACTACGCCGTCATCTAGAAATTTGATTCTGGATTTAACAGGGACCCAGTGAGAAGAAGCCAAAAAGTTACATCAGTACTCTGCAGCATTTTGGATCAGCTGAAGGCTTGAATTTAGAAGCAGGACATTAATGATGATCTTTGTCCTTAAGACATTCCTGTAGTTTAAATAATTGGTGCGTGTTATGTGGTTTCATGAACAATTCAAGCTGCATATGTCATCCACATTCTTGTGTTGTGGCATTGTTATGCAAGGCCTTCTAATTATACTCCATAGAGGAATCATATATAATGCAAATGGTATTGGTCCTATCTAAAAATCCTTTTTAAAAAAAACATTTATTGTAAATTCCAGTACTTTAGATTTTCATTTTCATCGTCAATATGATGTCATGTCCGCCATTTACGTTTCTTTCACATCACATTTAGCATATGTCACCTGAAGCAATTTGTTTCCACAGCAGACTTTTGTTCAACTCTCCACTAAATATGGGTAAATATGGGTAAAGGTTTTTGTTAGTTAAACTAAATCATTTTGTTCTGGGTGCTCGCTGACTGAACCTCTTCAGCTCACAGTTTTTCGTTTGCTTCTACCTTTAGGTCCTTATACTGAGTTGACTTTCTGACTTTTGTTGCAGATCTGAAACTGTGGCCACTAAATGTGGATATTAAAAAAAAAGCAAAACCCAAAAGGTGTTGAAAAAAATAACCCAACACTGAAACATATTCAACAAATGTTTGAAATATTTTATTTTATACATACATTCTTTTTGAAAAGGCAACATTGAAAACCAAGGATGATATTGGTAAAAGTGTACTACTTCTAACAGAAACTTATATATGATGTTTTTTTTACATAATAAATATGACTTTATAGCTAATTATTGCATAAAAAGAATAAGAGTGATGTTAATATAGATTTGATTTTTAATTAAATTATCTGTCACTCCCAAAATGTTCTCTGTGAAGACCTCTCAGCTATCTTCGTTATCCAGGTGGCAGTACAAATTAATGGATACCAATATGGCAGCAATCTGGAGAAACAAAAGTGTAAGAGTCCAAACAGAATGACATAAACAGGTTTTGAATGCATCCTTAAGCTTTGCATGAGTTTTTACCTCCAGTAATCCAATTCCTGCAGCAGTGCCTCCCATGGTGCTAGCGTTCTCTTTGATGATCATCAGGATCTGCTGAAAACAGCCCTAATAGGAAATGGGCTCTGGTTAATTCCTAATGCATCATCATAACACGCATGGCTGACACTCATGCAGACACTAATGCAAAAATAACAATCGCAAAACTGCAAAATAATGGTTGGCTCAAAATCCACTACATTTCTAGGCCAGAATCAAGATGCTTGGGGCAGTCAACACTTGGTCCAGAATCAAATATTTTAACTGTTGCTACCGTCATAGAATTTAGACATACATGGTCCCCCACTGTTAAAATCTTAGTGACGTTTTGGTGTTTTTCATTTGTTTGCATAGCTCTGAGGTTATGCAAAAAGAATGACTGTGGAATTTCAATCCATGCAGGAGCTACAATGAGACTTCAGTTGAAGATAAGTTAACCTGAAAAAATGTTAAAGCTTAAAAACGTATGGCAAAAAACAAAAAAATAGCTGCAGTAGACAGTTTCCATTGTTTTTACTGGACATTGTTGTCATTGGGCAGGATGTTCCACACATTTTCACACCACTACATGTGTCAGTAATGAACTACAATGTGGGTGGCATGGTTTCAATACCAGGAATATAAACTTTATTTATGCTTAGCACCATTTATGTCTATGTAAAAATATTTAATATTACAGCATTAAAAAGGTCTTTTACAGGTTTTGGTCTCTATAGTAAGTTCTTATCTAACAACCATACTTAAATTGCACTTTTCTTCTAGAATTAAACCCTCGAAATGCAGTTTAATAATACAAGTCTCATACTCCCAATCACTCACACATTCATACAGTGCTTTATTCTATGCCATACCATCTTGTCTAGCACACATACTCTAATATAAAGCCATCAGAATCTCGGCCGAGGATATTTCAACATGTGAACCGGAGGAACTGACAATCAAACTACCAACTTTCAAATTAGTAGGAAACCTGCTTTACTTCCAGGCCCACAGTCCCCAGACAACTTCATAGCATGACAGAATATTTGTTTTCACTTCTTTTGATTCTATTTTGATTCTAATTAGTGGTCACTAACAGCTACATATGTAGCTGGCAGTTGTCTGCTACATATCAGTGAACTGGACCTGGAATGCCACAGAGCATGGCAAACAGTATTCCTGCTAAACACTAGCTTGTTTGAATTGTCATTGTTTTCATGCCAGAGCTGCATAATGTATAATATGGTAATTTCACCTGCACATTGCTGTACTCTGCCTGGGCTGGGGTGCAAGTGTTGTTGTTGGTCCTGCAACAGATGGAAGGCAGGCTGCCTCCAGTTGCATTTTGGAAGTTAGAGCCCATGAAATCAGTGTAGTTGGAGAAACCACAGCAATGTAGCTGAAAGAAGGATGACATTCTTGTGTTATTCATGCCGCAGGAAAATATGTGAAGAGGGTTATCTACATAATGGTCCTTTCTTAAAGGCACTGTCTTGTCTTGATGTTAGTGGTTTCTATCTCCTCTTTCAGACATATATTCCAGCAGGGTGTAGGTGTTACTTGCCTAAATCTCATTCTTCTCTTTCAGCTAACTCTTCTGGACTTGCCTTAGTCTCTGCAGGTATTTGGTGGTTGCAACTTTCCTGGCAGCCGCTTCATGATTCCCACATCCCTGTGAGATTGCCCTGTAATTCTCGCTATTCTTAGTGTCTGCAATGTTCCCTTTTGGTTTTGCAATCCCCTCAGTTCTGACTACCATCACTCTCTTTGTTTGTTCCCTCTCCAGTTCGAATAGCATTCCACTGTCACTGGTGTAGATCTTGGTGGGATGGATAAGTGAATCGATGTCCTGTTTACTCCTGGCATACAGCTTGATATCATCCATGTAGAGGAGGTGGCTAACGATTGCTCTATTCTGTAAGCAGTGTGTGTAATCAGTCTTGTCAATCACCTGGGATTAAAGAGTTCAGGCCTACAAAGAACAGTGGGGGGAGAGCATCTTGAACAACTGCTCTGTTTACCAGTAGCTGATGTTTTGCCCCTCTGATCCCCAAGGATCTGTGAACATTGGGGATCAGCACTGTCCAGCCTTCAATTATCCATTCCAGCTACGTGTTGTCCATTATCAACCGGTTCATTTCTGCTGCCAGGTGCTCATGGAGTGCAGTTAGTTCTTCAGCAAGCAGATGTGAATCATGTTGGGGCCTGGTACTGTCCAACTGGTGCTGTTCATGCTTGACACTCTTTGTTGGATGTTTGTAATGGTTACTAGATCCTGTTCAGGCAGCAGAAATCCAGACTCATCCGACAAGACAATGTGTTTGCAATTGTCTGTTATTTGAGTTAGTGTTGCTTTCCTACCAGCTGAAAGCATCCCAGCCAACCTTGTCTGACTTCCAACATTCAAGGAATTTCACTCCCTGGATATTTTCTCTTTTGAAGATCATTGTCTGTAGGATGACTATGTTCTAAAATACAGGTAGATCAGCGATTTCTGAAATACTCAGACCAGCCTGTCTAGCATCAGCACCTATGCCATGTTCAAGTCCCTTAAACCACTTTTGTACATGACTAAATGCATTTGTTTCTGTCATGTGATTGGCAGAACAGATATATATGTTAATATGCAGTTAAGCAGGTATACATAAATCAATGGTGAATGTATATACAGTTTATATATATAAAGTTCTAAACACATATAACAAGAATAGGAAAACACAATATCCTGTACCTGTGTCATGGTGCTGTTCCAGAGCTTAGTGACAGCAGGATCATTACCATATTGATTCTGTAGAGCAGGAGTCGCCCACGCTCTCAAGATCCCCTCAGCCTGTGGAAAAAACTGATTTACTGACATCATATATAAACAAATATATCCTCACTGGACACATCTAGTCTGAATTTTATATTTTGTTTCTAAAGTCACTGGGTCAAAATTACCCAGTGACAATCCTTTCTATCTATACTCGCTAGGTTGTTATGTTTAGTTTTAGTGTCTTGTGATGTCTAGGTAAACTGTGTCAGATGTGTCCTCACTTCCCACATTATCCCTCTTGTATTTAGTGTCTGTGTCTTCCTTTGCTCCGTGTCGCGATCCATGGCTGTGTGTTTACTTGTGTGCCTCTCCGTGTATGATAATAAAAAAAAAAAAGAGAATGCTTGGATACTGCTAGTATAATGGACAGAGTTTTTTGGGGGGCTTCCAAACATCGCCAAATATGTTTCCAAACCAACTTCTGTCCAAGCCAAAGATTAGAAAATATGATGAAGCACATCTTGCCGTTGGCTTCACCTACGTGGCTTCACCACCTATGTGTCGCCTTCTGTTCCTAAAAAAAGCAACAGAGCACTCGGTGGTCTCACAAACTCAGGTGGGATACTGTCTGTCCAATCCAAAGTAAAGTCCGGGTTCTGTCTGAGGTTGATGTCTAAAAATGATCAGTGCATTGCTGGAAGATGCAATAAGACGGTAGTTGGGAGCACTGTGCCACTGGATACGTCCATACGTGCCAGCAAGAAGTAGCTTTCCAGAAGTGGTCCTTGATTCTTGGAAAACTCTGACTCTTCTAACCCTTCTGAGAATTCTGTTCACTGCTCTGTGTGAACTCTTGTGGGGAACACCTGACCATGGCTGGTCTATGGTGAAATTACCCTTTCTAATGCGCTCAATACTGTTTAGTAACATGGACATGTATGTTTTGGTTTATTGCATGTGTGGGTTAGAATGGATGTTACCAATATCTAATCAGAATTTCATGTTAATGGCACATTTAGAAATATATTTACTTAGAAAATTGGTGGCATGTTCAATACTTTTTAAAAAAATCTGTTGTACATGTATCAGTACAACATACATTTATATTCCTCTTGTTTTTTGGGGTTTTTTGTTTGTTTTTTTAAGGCATTTGGTTTTTAAACATTTTCTAAGTAAGGATAAGAATTAAGAATTAAAGTGGCGCAACTGTTGTGTCACTAAACATCACAGCACATCTATTTCACAGCACATCTATTTCATGTACTCATAACTCATATCATATCAGCCCTGTAATATATCTCCACTTTGGTCACTTTGTACAAACAGAACCATGACAACGACCACTGACAGCTTCTCATAATACATGCTGGAAATCTCAGTTACTCTGACTACCTGAAGGTTATTGACTTCCTGGTTAGATGAGCAGCAGAGACCCAGAAACCAAAAGGCAGATTTATGCTGCAGATAAGTAATACATGATAGATCAGGTCTTTATTTATATCCTCCTTTATTTGTACCCTCCTCTGTCTTTTACATATTTACACAGGCAGCTATATATATGCATATTAGATGTATATTGTCCATTTTCATTATTCCACTGGTATACTGTTTATTGTGTCTTATGAAAAGCAGGAGATGGAAAGCTGGTCTCACACATTAATATCCACGATGGAACTTACCATGTCTGCAATGAACAAATGATGCTAAAGATAACAAAGAGCACATTAAATTGTTTTAATGAAAACAAAGCTGAGTTATATCTTACATTTAATGGGGGTTCAGGCAATAGCTTGGACCCACTCCTCACTTTCTCTAGACAAGCATGCTCTCTGTTGTCAAAACGTGTCTCACCAGTTGCCGTTTACATGGTTGGCTTTGGTTTGCTCAGCTTTTGGAAATGAGAGTGGAGAGATTGAATTTAACAAACTCAGAGAATGACAGCAGGAGAGCAGCTCAATGTTCAGTCTCCAAGGACAACCACCAACACACTTGCCTATAGCTTCTTTGTTTGATAGGTGGCACACTCAGGATTGAACAGGAACATAATATATTACATTCCACCCAGAGAAAGAAGTTAAATGCAAACCTGGACACTGCAAAAAATAATCTTTAACAGAACATCAGGGCAACTGCATAAAAGATTTAAATCGCTCAACATATATATACATATATATATGTATATATGTCAATTTAGTTCAAAAACTGCTGATTCAAAAGCCTCAGTTTTAAAGTATTTGCACACACATACATCAATGAACGAGAAGGTCGCTTCCCTTTGCCTTTTGGGTCAGAGAATGGGTTCTGTCATTTGTGCTTATGCACAGAATGGCAGTTCAGAATACCGAACCTTCTCCTACTGGGAGACTTTAACACTGTGGGCAACAACAGTGAGACCTAGAGGGGTGTAACTGGTCGGAACAGCGGGTTACCCTGTGGGACTTCAGAAGTAGCTCATGGGTACAGGCAAGCCAAACAGAATGTGGCTCAGCAGTAGCTGAAGCCAAAAAATCTGGTGTGCAGAGGGTGTTCCTGACCTCAACTGAGGATATAGTCAACCAGTGGAAGGAATACTTTGAGGATCTCCTTAATCTCACTGACACATCTTCTGTAGAGGAAGCAGAGTCTGGGGACGAGATCACTGAGGTAGTTTATCCTTTATTGGCCAAGATTTGTACAGGTCCAATGGATTATTTTGTTATTTTGGGTGCAAAATGAAAAAATAATTAACATCTTTTAGGAACCATTTGAATTTTCTCTCTAGCCCAAAATGGTTGAGGAATATGAAAATGTGAAGCGCATGTGAAATAATCTAATCAGACCTGATTTTTTTTACATCCATGTTCAGACAGTACTACCTTGTGGATGTCTTCTGCTACCATGATAACACAATATCCCTGTAAAGCTCACTTTTTCTTCTTTCCAAAGCATTTTGTCTCTAGCACAAATGGTAACAGAGTTATTGACATTTAAAAACTCCTTGTAAAATGGGCCTGCTGGTGGGCAAATGGTAAATTATAATGGCCAACAATAAGTCTGTTTGGTTTCCACCGCAGATGCCCTTTGTCACCAATTCTAAAGGTTAGCCAGGTGGCACACCATTTGTCATCATCACTATACATGAGATTGTTGTTTTCACTGGATTATCATACAAATGATATGGGGCAGCTCTGTCTCAGGAGGTACAATAGGTCATCAACTAATTGGAGCATAGTGGATGGATCAGTCTGTATGTTGAAGTATCCTTGGGCAAAATAATGCGTTGCCCTCTGAGTTACAACCACATTCATTGGAGTCAGTGTGTGTGAGTATGAGAGTATGAGAATGTTATGTCATAGAGTAGTAAATGCTGTATGAATGTGTATGTGACTGAGTAAATTAGTAGAGAAGAATCAGTAGAAATTTAGAGTAAGTTAAAGAAATAAATGCAGCAGCCACTTGGCAAATAATAATGAGCCAGTCAAACTGTACAGTGGAACCCCGACTTACGAAACTAATTCGTTCCAGAGGGTAAGTCAAAATGTTCGTAAGTCGAAGCACCTTTTTCCATCGCCTTTTCCCAAAACCAAAAACGTCCTCCAGTTTTTGGTTTTGGGAAATATTTTAGCAGTTATAATCTACAGGACTTTCTTTTGCTTGTTTTGTTTGTTTTTGCTTGTTTTTGTCCTTTTTTGTGATACTTTTTGCAGTGTGTACCTGCAGCTTAAACTGGTTTATCAATAGCAGAAGTTCAAACAAATTAAATGAAATTTTCAAGCACTGCAGAGTTCCCTCTGCTCTATTCCCCATTTCCCAGCTGCAGAAAGCCAAGTATTAGATTACCATTCTTGCCTCTGGAATTTCAGGAACAACCGATTTTCTCTTAGGACCCCAGTCTTCACTAACCTCCCTTTTCACAGCGCCTTTGAATTCCTTTTAATTTTTACTTGGTGTGGCACTAAATGAAAATGGAGTATGCATGTATGCAGGTGTGTGTGTGTGAGTGTGTGTGTATGTGAGTGAAAGAGAGAGAGAGAGAAGGCAGACAGAGGGGAACACATATCTAAATAGGCTGTTTTGCATATAAAATGCTTTAGGTTTTATATTTCAGAGTAATATATTGTTCAAAGTGAGAGACAGTGCACACAGCCCCAGGCTATCCCAGAGTCATTAAGTAGCAGAAATGTAGTGAGGTGGACATAAAGCCCATAATTCAATAATAGTCCACTGCTAAGATAGAAAATTTATATTGAGATAAAATCCAGACAATAGCACAATGAGGTGAAAGGGTGGGAGAAAAATCAGAACTAGATGAGAAAAATAAAAAAAGACAAAAGGAAAAGGAAAAGGAATGAGAGTAATGGACAAAGAGAAAAAGGATGGATGCAGGAAATGAAAACTTACAAACGAGGTGTAGGTCAAAGCTACGACTCCAGTAGCCACTTCAGAAATGAATATGATGAGCATGATGGAGGCAAACTGCAGGGAGAGAAGAAGAGGGGAATGTGTCAAGGTTTTTCAAATATACTGATTAAAAAAAAGCTTATCTATAGTCGCATTGTTGTAAAATCAATGGACAGTGAGTACACGGGTCTATGCTGAAAGGACAGAGCTGATGATCCATCTTCATTTATTATGTTTAGTTCATTACAGCAGTTTCTCAGGTAGGCCAAATATCTGCTGCTAACTGTGATGCCAGTTGTAGAATATACTCCTCTGCTGTCATTCAACTCACCAGGAGCTGTAGACATGATGGGGGCGCTGCAGGGGCAAAATGTGCTGCCTGTGCTCCTCATTACTCACTGCAGTGGGCTAAGAGGTAGTTAACGTCTTCGCTAATGAGTGTAATAATGTACAATGTGTTGTACAAGGGTTGGTGGTGTTGCTGATATGGATGAGGAAGGAGGGTGGCTGATGAACCCAGTGTAAAAGCAAGGATGGGTGGGATACCAAAAAAAATGTGGGCCACTTCATGAAACCACACAGTATCATTTTTAGTGTTTTTGATCTTAATATCAGTGTCCTCATTTAAAAGCAGTGAAGCAATACATATATGGATTATTAATCCATGATTGCTGTTTTATTCCATCTAATGAACTGAAGTTTAACATTTAGTCTTATTTCTTTAGTTGCTCAAACTTTCCATTGAGATGTGATTGAGATATGATTCCACTGAAATAATATTTAAGCAATTACAGGTGACAAACTTTTATTGACTCTGAAGACAGACTGAAACCACTACCTGAAACTGTGCATGATATCAGTGACTGACGTGACAGGGTAGTAAAAATATTAGAAGATTGTCTAGGCCTCCGGAGCCTGGAAAATCTGTTAGTGACTCATTATCAGCTTCAAAATTCTGCACACCAAGTGAGTTTCTCCATCTGAATGCACACAGAGAGTGACTCTGCGTGCACCCTATGGTTTTCCTTCCAGTATTTGTTCTTTTCCTATTTGTTACTGTTTGCTACACACTTATTTGTTACGCCAGTGTTCAGGTACTTTATTAGCCATCGTCTAAAGCAGGAGTTGTCCACTTACTGTAAGGAGTAGACACTTGCTCTTCTTATGGGCTGCATAACAGCCCAAGATTCCCAGCAGCACCAGCGCAGCCCCGATGACAATGCAAAAGAAGCCAACATTGACCACCTGGGTACTTTGTTTGGAGAAAGGTCTCAAGATCTGTAGCAAGGAAGCCCCATCACTGCTCACCCAGATCCCCAATGCCAGCAGAGTGAGGCCACCCATCTGTAGGAGAAACAAGATCCATATACTGTACACTTAAGAAAAAATTGTGTTCATTGCAAATTTCTGTTAAGTATGTGCAAGTAATTCCCATTTGACAAAATAAGTAAATTAAATTGTTTAATTGAAAATGGGATGATCTGTTCAGTTCACTTTTTTATTTCTTTATTGACTTCTGCATTTACTTTGCCATGCGTCAAGAGCAGTGCATCAATTTTAACATAGTATGTCCGTTTCTGTTTCCCTCACTCTCACTGTTATTTTCAATGTATTCTACTAGTACAGAATCATTTAAATTGTATTATTGGATACATTAATTGGTTACATTGTTTTTTTTAACAGAGCTGACAAATCAACAAGTTATAATCTCAGACAGACAGCCTCACGCTGATCTTGTTATATCAGATTACTGCTTTCCCCAGGGTGACTGTAGCTTAAGCTATGCATTGTAATGTTAACTGTAAAGTAGTATTTACAGGTAAAAAGAAATTATGAAATAACTACTACAATGACACTTACTTGTAGCATTCCTTATGTTTCCTGCATTTTTTATGTTTGAAAAGACAAATAGGGTCATCATCATTATTATGCACTAATTTGCATATATTTCTAATACACAGAGTGTAGTCAAATAAGTACCCAAATGTGTATCTTGGATATTTCTTTGCACTAATGAGAAAAATGGCTATGTAGCCTAATAGAAGGAAACCAGCTTAAAATATAAAAAAAAAACTGCTTGGTTCATGAAGTCTTCAACCTGTAGTGTCTCACACTGGTCCACAATCAAGTAAGCCTCCCTATGGATATAGCCATTGCCGTTACTTAAGAAACCACATTACAAAACATTACATGCTGCACCAATTAGATTGATGCATGAGCATTACAGACAACAGATAAATTCTTTCAACCACAATTTCCGACTATTTAATGATGTGTTATGAATCCAAACAGAGGTGTCACCAGACAGTGTAGTAGTCTTTGTGTCTAGATTTCATGCCAGCAGCCCCTGAGGGTAAAAATAAAAGTTCTTTTCCTCTTTCCATCTTATAAAAATCCCAATTAACTTCAATGTCTGCAGCAGGCTGCTCTATATGTTTTATCAGTCTCTTGTGGCAGGCACCATCTTCTTTGCTGTAGCGTGCTGGGTTGCAGGCATCAAAGCAAAGGACACAAACAGACTGAACAAACTCATCAAGAAGGCAGAGTCTGTTGTTGCCATGAAGCTCGCCACCCTGGAGGAGGTGATCAGTGACAGAATGCTGGCAAGACCGCAGGCAATGATGCAGCCCCCCCTCCCCCCCCTCCATAACACACTGGACAATCCGAAGAGCAGTTTCAGCAACAGGTTCCTTCAACCTCGTTGTTGAGGGAACGTTACAGTAGGTCTTTCCTTCCCGCTGCTATTATTTATATGTATATTTATGTTTATACCTATCTCTATTTATGTATTTATCTTAATATTTATTATTCTTAACATTTCTTAATATTTATTCTATCAATATTTCTGTTTCTACACTCATTTTATATGAGTGCTTGATGTTTGGTGTATATTTGCTGCTATGACAACTCAGTTTCCCTCTGGGATTAATATACAGTAGTTTCTCTGACCTGTGTGAAGGCATCTGCAAAATGACAGCATCTTTATGTCACTACCTTTAATTCACACAGGCTCATTGACCAGGAACCGATTCAATAATCATCCAATGCTGTTTGAGAAAGCCAGCCTTCAGGTTTCTGGAGGAAGGCTCCAGGATTACCGCTTTGCCCGTAACAAAGAGAGAATGTTACTATCCTCCATTAATTTTATGGACTGCAGTGTAATTTTTCCATCTCCAGCTTTACAAAAACTGGACACTACGTATGTGTCCAGTATCCCCATGGGCATTCACCGAATAGCTTAGTAGTTAACAGCACTGTTTCACAGAAACTGTTATCTCCAGGTGCTTTACAACACAACATCAAAGTGAAGCCCAGTGAATATTAGTCTCTAGGTTTGGTGAGCGAGATAAATATGGATAACAATTGAAAAAAGGTCAATATGATAAGGGCTAAATGTGATGTTGTCTTGCTGCTGTATTAATCATGTAAAAATATTTAATACATTTTCATTAACATGACAAAGAGTTATGGCAAATTTAAAATTGGATCACATTTTATATCATGTCTTGCTGTCATAAGTCAGTAGTCAATTCAATTGCTGATTTCACTGCTGCGTGATACTTTCTGGTGAATTTCTGTTCACCAGATAGCTGTTGTACTTTGATTCTACTTGCATTTGCTAACAAACTACTGTAATGCTATCTTTGCAGAACTCTAACTATATGTATGTATGATAAAATGTGCTCTATAAATAAAATGTAATTGCCATGATCTCTCCGGCTCCTCCTTCATGTCTCCATCTTTGACTTTCTCTTCACTTTCTTTTATACCCTTTTAACCTTCTCCCTCCCCTCTGTGTATTTCACCCTCCACTCACCCTACTTTGAAGCCTCATATGAGCAGTCAGGCTCTATCAGACTGGTTTCAGTCATGGGACCCCCTTCTGCTCCACATCAGGAACCAGCACTCCACACTCCAGCACTCTTTCAGACACTGACATGTCCCTTATGGGAAAAATCTCCTGCTTCCTGTCTTTGTCTTTCCTACACATTCTCTTTGTTTTTGACTCTCTCATTTATTCTTGTTTTCACTCTCCACCTCTTACTCTGGGGTGTCTCTTCAGCCTGTTCAGTTCATCATAGCATTGTCGACTAAATGTAATGCAAGAAGCATATTTCCCCTCAAACCCCATTTCTGTCACCATCATGCCCCATCTACAAAAAAGTGAAAAGTGTGCCAGCTATAAATACACTTATCACAGCTGGCACAGTTTTCACCTTTTTTGAGACCTTTGACGGTGTGTTATATGCATTTGGATGTCTTTTTCAGGATCTACATTGCAAAGGGAATGGGAGTAAACCAGGTTTTATGAGACTGAGAATTGGTGCTAGTGGTGGAGAAACAATATCTTTGTCATCTATAGAAACAGAAAGAGTCTTACAGTTAGTGGACTGTGACTGAATAACAGGCTGCAGAATGAGAAACAAAGGCTCCAATAAGGGGAGAGTAAAGCTACAGTGGGAATGAAAAGAGAACCTCAGGGGAATTAGTTCACTTTGAAAAGCTTGGAAAGTGATAGAAGAATAGACAGATAGATTTATCTTTATTAATGGGCTATGTACCACAGCCCTTTAAGGTGGCAGTATTAAAAAGCCATCACTTGACCCAGGAGTTATAATTTTGGATATTGGCCTAATTATAAGGTAAATTATAGAGTAGTTGTAAAACAGCTAACTGGTTTGATCGAACTCATCACATACAAAAAGTGCAATAGTGAAGATCAAAAATGATCTGCTTATGGCCTCTGACAGTGGACTTGTCTCTATGCTTGCCCTGCTAGAGCTCAGTGCAGCTTTCACCACTGTTGACCATAATATTTTATTACAGAGATTACAACATGCCATAGGTAATGAAGTTGCTGCACTGCAGTGTTTTGAATCATATCCATCTATAAACTCCAGTTTTTTTCATGTAAATGGAGAGTTTTCTTCACACACTGAGGTTAACAGGTATCTGTGCTAGGACGCTTAGGCCATATCATTAGAGGATGTAGCATACATTTTCATTGCTATGCAGATGATGCATACCTTTATCTATCAAGAAAGCCAAATGACACACATCAAATACTTAAACTACAGGAATGTCCTAAAGACATAAAGACCTAGATGCTTTAATTTCCTGTTTCAAAATTCAGATAAAACCATGAGGATTCTACTCTTCCCTAAAGTCTTGGTGTATAAAAACATGGTGTACACATGGTGGATGGCATTACCTGGGCTTCCAGTAACACTGTGAGGAATCTTGGAGTCATTTTTAACCAGGATATCTTCTTCAATGCGCACATTAAACAATTATACCATCAGTCAGTACTGATGCAGAGAAGGTTGTTAATACATTTCAGCTCCATTGGTGTTTATAAAATTAACAACGGGTTCACTAGAGGGGCCAAAATGAGATATCCCCACTAGTTCACCAGTTTTCCTTTTAGGGCCGGTGTAACTACTGGTAGCATGAGGTGTTACGTGGAACCTACGGACATTGGGCAGGTAGTCCAACTCCTGGCAATGCAACATATTGATGTGCCATCCTGGAGGCTTGCTGTTTCTCCTAGCACAGCGGTCCCCAACTGTTTTTGCGCCACGGACCGGTTTATGCCCGACAATATTTTCACGGACCGGCCTTTAAGGTGTCGCGGATAAATACAACAAAATAAAACTAGTACCGGTACCCGAAAAAAGAAGATTTATTCATAACACACGTGAAAAGACCCAACGATAAAAACGATAACAAAATAACGCTCAAAACGAAAAAAAACCCTGAAAACCACACATTTCACACCTGAGCCTCAACTCTCGCAGCCCGGTACCAAACGACTCACGGACCGGTACCGGTCCGAGGCCCGGGGGTTGGGGACCGCTGTCCTAGCACACTCTCAAGCCACTTACTAGTGTTTTGATCATGAGCAACACATTCACAGATTAGAAGATTCAGTGGAGAAGTACAAATCATATGTTAAGATAATCTTGAACAGTTAAACACTTCGATTATTAAGTGTGAGATTCAGATTTTGTTTGGACTCTACTATAGTAGTTTTGCATGATTAGCATTTTGAAATAACTGGGCTTTTGAGCTGCCCCTCATTTCACTTCTCTGTCCGATGTGACATATTTTAGCTGCTTCCCTGTTCCCTATGAGATTTATCTCTCTTTAAGTAGCATTTGATTACCTGGACCTTGTATGCACCTGAACAGCAGGAAGGGGCTTGTGTGCTCATAGCTCTCGCTTTTACTACATTTAATACTTATGCATATGTACTCACACTATTTATTTATCACTGAAGATAAGGAAACACAGTCTTAGTTGCTATCCGTTAATGTTCCTATACGTGCTCACTTATTTAGTTTTCTCCTGCCACTATGAACAACAGGGTTTAGTTCTTGAAAAAACGTCTGCTTTAGATATGTTTTGAAGGGAGCTGCAGTTGCAAAAATATGTTTGAGCGTTCACATTAAAGCAAGATCTTCATGACCAATAAATAACTGTTACATCATTCTCCTGTGCTGTCTTAGATTTCAGACGGACATCACAATCGCCGCACCTTGAGAGCTGCTGCACCAAATTTATCAAGCAGCACTCAGCCGATGATTTCCATTTTGAGGAAAATGGCTCATGCTATATCTCATCTATAGCTCACCTGGGAGAGCAAGAACCCAAGTGAGCCCAGACCCCAAGCAAACTTAGCTTAACATTGGTAAGACTGAGGTGAAGATGTACGTGGCATAATTAATGTACAGCCTTTAAAGTTAATGAGGTAAAAATTGCAACAACCAGGCAAAATCTTTGGTATAGAAAAAGTATTATTTAGACCTTCAGAGTGGTCAGAGATGATTATGTAACATCTCTTTTTGCACTGAATGGGAAAGGGAAATTATTTTCCAGGTTGTTTGTTTGTTTTTTTTACTTTTTTTCTACGAATGTCACTCAGTAAATGAGTGTCTCACAACCATGCCTCAACATCTTCCTAGTCGTGCTGTATGTGTAATCAGAGTGGAAACATACTTACAAAGATAAAGAAGTTGAATAGCACCATCATGAATTTGAGAAACATGAAGGAGCACATTTTAATCTGCAAAAGGAGGAAATTAATTTTAGGGTTTTGTACTTACATTACTGAGGACTCTTATCTAACACACACGCAAATGTTATTGGAAGGTTATGAAAAGGAAAATTAGAGAAAAGATAAAGTTCAAAAGTGGCAGCGATCTTACCTCTTTCTGTAAAACCAAAGTAGAGAAAAATTAAACCAGTTGGCTTTCTGAATTAAATAGTGACTAAAAATGCAGCAGAAACTTAAACACAAATGATCATCTGTCTCTTTAGTTTATCTCTTTCCAGGAACTTCCAGAGATGCAGGTAAAAAGTGCATGTCTGAGATCACAAATCTGAAATTTGTTTCCTCTTGGTGGAGCAAGAGGAGTGCTGGGTGTGTCTTGGAGGATACAGGTGACTGCAGGTGAAGGTGTGGTGCTGCTTACACAGTAAATTTCCCAGTGTTAAATCAGCAGTGTTAAAGTGTATTTACTCTAATAGAGTCATTATAACAACAGCTGGAGCAAAACGCCCCCCAGTGTGGGTGATGATTCCTGGAGTTAAAAGAGACAGTGTCAACGTTACTGTAGAAAGCTCCTCCCACCACAGACTGGTTTTCAAACCAAGAGGATTTTTCACGACGCCATTTTCTTCACATCAGTTGCAGGGTAAGTTGTTCATATTTACTTATTAAACCAACAATTCGACATTTTAAGCACAGGTAGCACGTTAAAATAAGGTTACATTCCTTTTGTCCATGTTTATTATATATTTCATTTTGTACCAGAAGCAAATGTGACACTATCTGTATGTTAATGTAAGGTTGTTAATTAGCTAAAAAAGTTGACTGATATCAGTGTTGGACTGTAAGGCTTGTTATCAAAATTTATTTCAGTGTGTAGTGGTGATTGTGTTGTGTTCTAGCATGTTCGAAATTCCATTAAATGAAACCCTCCATGTGTTGGGATCTACATATTAACATTAGCTAGCTAACTAGCATTTTGGCTAACCTCAGTGCGCGGGCAATTCGCTAGTTATCGTTAAATTTTAAATCACCTAACTCAAGCATTAACTAATTAAAATTGTACACTAAATGTTACATCTTTCTTTTTTTCTTTTTTTGATACCTAGGTACCAGATATAGAGGTCGTTTTTAGTAAGGTTATTGTCTTATTTTAACTCGGCTGTCTCCAGCGATTTTACAGTTACAGGATTACAACCAGCAGGTGTTATAAGCTTGATAAAATATCCAAAATGTCCAGGATTCAGTTTTAATGCATTTTTTTTAGTAGTTTGAATTTAAGATGACAGCGTTTGTATTTATTGTGAGTTGATGGTATTGACAAAAGTTACCCAGCTGCTTTCCATTTTGGTTACCAGACTGTTCAGTATGTTAAACTAAAGATGAACAAAATACTGACTCCCTAGTGCTAAGTTAGGTCAGACAAATGGTAAAAAGTAGTAGTTATTATTTTAGTTTTGTATTGAGGATTATATCTTGACACCTTGTTACACTGACATAAAAGTAACATACAGTGTAAGAAATCACATTGCAAGGCTGTTTATGGGACTGTTTTAATATTCACATTTTCTGTTTACTGTAGTTCAATGAAGAGCACTGACTATAAGAAATTACTGTCTACAGGAAGCATGCTGCTTAAAGCAAAACTCGGAGGTGTGCAGAAATTTGTTAGAGTATCTGAGCCAAGCCTTAAGGAGTTTTTGATTGCCGGTAAGAAACCAACATTGTATTAAAAAGGTGTACAAGAGGCTTTAAGTTCTTTTTGTTATTTAGTCTCTTCAAACTGCATTTTATGATTAATTGAAAATGATCTGTGTTTTGGAAGCATCTTAGTTATGAATGTATATTTAGTGGGGGGAAAAACTGCATAATGTGAGTGTCACTCCTTTTAATCTACCACTTATCAAGCATGTTAGTGGCGCTTAATAATTTAGCCTTTGTTTATCTGACTCATTTTTGAAAGAGTATCTTGAAATGATCTTTATTTTAAGCTACAAAACATTAAATGTCATGTCTTTTTGTTTACACAAACTTGTGTGCTTGTTTCCAGCATTTGCAAAGTTTGGTGCGCCAGCCGTAACAGAAGGAGTGAAAGTTTTTGATAGTTCAGGGACTGAGTTGGATGAGGATGTTTTTGAGGATATAGTAACAGATCCCTCAACCGGGGTACTAACCATCAAATATGAAACAGGTTTGTTTGAGTGATTTGTGTTTCATTGGATGTCTTTTTTTTTTTTTTTAGTGTCATTATTACATTGTTTAATCAAAGAGTGTATAAAATGAGTCTATGGAGGGACCATGTAAACTAATTTGTTTTGCTTCTATTTTTAAGGTCTGGAAACATCTGTTGCAGAAGTGTCTCCTGAGCGATTCCAGTTATCATCGCCACATTCATCAGATTCACAGAATACGGTCATCCTTTCAGACAGCCCTTTGAGGAAACGTCAGAAGCTGGATGCAGAAGCTAAGCAAGTAAGAGTTAACAGATTTCCACATTCTTCTAATAGTGTCTTTTTGTTTGTAGTTTAAGTGTTCTGAACTGTAGTGGTTATATCAACATGTAGAATGTTTTTATTGTGTTTTCCAGTTGGTGGAATCCATTCTCACAAGCAAACCTGGTGGAGAACGTATAATAAATGAGTACAATCGGACCAAGTCCCTGGTGGATGAAACCAGAAGAAAAATGGTCAACATACTGGTAGCTGACATGACAGAAAAAAATGGGTAATTTATTTCTGGCCCTGTGATTTTTACTATCATTTTCAAATTATTTTAAATCTCTATTAATTCCAGCGAAGCTGACTAGTTCTTTTCCTTTTGATCTTGCAGTACATCACCACCACGGCAGGTAAAAGAAATGTATGCCAGAGGAATTGTAACCTTTTTCCCTTACCTCAGTGACCCGTACTCAAAAAATGGCTATGTAAGTAGCTAACAGCAATAACTGATACAACTAAAATCAAAATTTTAAATCCTGCCAAAATGTATGTCCTTATCAATTGTTCATGGTCACATAACTTACTGATAAATTAATAAACAAAATGTCTGTATATGTCACTCTCCAAGGAACATTATTATGATGGCGAGAGTGGCACTGGGTACTTGGCCTGGAGGATTAAAACCATACAGAGATGCACTGCTAAAGAGAGGCGATTAACATCTGGAGGTAACACTTATAATTCAGTGGAAACGTATAATACAGTTCCAAATTGTGGTTCTGTATTAATAATGGTTATCAAATGTTATTATTAGTTTTGATAAAGTTGTATTTCATATTGTCTAGCACCAGGAGATGGATCATCGGGTGAAGACCAGTGTGGTGGACCAACTGTCAGACGAGAGTTGCAGTTTGTTACAGAGAACGTGCTGAGTGAGGATGAGTGTAAGGAAGCAATCGCTCTGATGGAACATTCAGCTGATGAGGACACAGTCAAGAAGAAGATGAAGTTGACATTTGTTTATCGACACAACATGGTCCTTGACCCCCTGCTGTCAAGCAACATACTGTCTGTGTTTCCACGTTTCAAAGATATCAAAGGCTTGGTGAATATTTTTCATTACGTTGACAATGTAAACACATTTTATTTTTTGCAGATAGCAGATATAATTCTCTGTTCTCTATCCCTGTTACAGATCGAACAGGATTTTGTACTGATGTTTGGTGAGGATGTATCAGGCAGGTTGCTGGAGAGGTGGCCAACAACATTCAAAAGAAAGATTATCCAACAAGGCAGAAAGCTTCCTTCTACCAGTGACCTGGAAGAACTCTTGCTGGCAGCTGACTCTCCTGAGGATGCCACTGAAGTTAATGCTGACATTGGTGAGCTGTTATTTCTTTAATTAGAACATTCACAGGATATATAATGTTTGTCACAGAACAGCTGTCCTTTTGTATTTTGGGTCTACTCAAACATTTTGTCAATGCAGATGCATTGAAATTTGTTATTGATGAGGATGATTCAACTTTATTAAAAACAAATATATTTTTTCAGGCTGGGACAGTGACCTCTCAGCGATTCTATTGCTATTACATTTGATTCCACCATCTGGTCAGGGTCGGAAGAGACCAGGAAAGGTGTCAGCTTCTCAAGCAGAAAGGCATCTTGTGGTCTTCAAGAAGGTTTGTTTCTTTTCTATTTTTATGGTATGAATTACCAGTTTAAGAAACACTTGATTCTTATTGCCTGTCTGTATTTGTCTTTTCAGACTGGAACAAATATCCAAGAGCACCTTGATGCCATCACTACCAGCACTCAACCCTACCTCCTGGCTGTTGGGGTGAAAAAGCATGACATCCACCAGTTCTTCATTATTCTTGACAAGAATGCCATACCATGCAAGTCTACCTCTTCACTTGGTGCTTTTGATGAACTGTTTAAAGCACATTTTGTGTTTGGCACATCTTACAACACCATGCTTCACAACATGTACACGTTCATCCAAACCACTGTGTACAATATAGATGTTGGCAAAATCAAAGAAAGTCCCAGAGTTGCTGAAATAAGGACAAGGTTGCTTCGTTAGGGCTTGAAGGTTAATTCTCCATCATGAAGTGTTTTGTCTGTCAAGCTGAGTTTACTGGTTCAAACATGCTTGTTAGGCATTTACGGTTAGTCCATGGTTACTTACCTGGAACAAACCTTCGCCTTAAATGTGCCCAGCGTGACTGTGGCTGTGTGTTTGGCACTTTTTCAGGTTTTAGAAAACATTTAAATACCAAACACCTTAACTATTTCGACCAACAGGCTGACACTGATGTTAATTTACAGCCTGATGTGGCAGTTAAAGAAGTTAGCACTACAGGGCAGGTGGTGTCAACTAATGTAGAAGAAACACCCACAACATCTGAAATGTTGAAAAGTTCAAATAAGAGCACTTTGGATATGTGTGCCTCTACTGTTGCACAGCTCAGGGCAGCTGGATTAAGCCAATCTACTGTGAATAGTTTTGTCTCCTCAATGGAGGAAGTGTTTTTTGAGATTCATACTCAGGCTAAAGA